GGGTACCAGGGACCTATGGGCACAAACTTCTTGGACCTGGAAGGGACCACCCCAGTGAGTCTCAGCATCCTTCATGCCCCACCAACACTTCCTGCTCCAACAGCCTCCAGCCCGTGGGTCTCACCAATCGGAGCACCAGCTCCTGGAGACCCAAAGCCCCTTCCTTGATCCATCAAGCAGCCCGAAGGCAATGAACTGCACTGAGATGACGTCGAAATGAGACTCTTCTGTTACTTGAATCATAGAGATAAGGTCTGCAGAAACAGGAAGTCCAGCGGAGCCAGATCCCAGGGACCCTCAGATGAGCAAAGCTGCTGGGCCCCCGAGACCTCTTCTGGGCAAAACACCAGTTAACCTGTGAATAATTGGCTGGAGTGGAAGATTAGGATGGTTGGCAAAAACAAGTTACTTCTGGACATTTTCCAGTTTTTCCTCAAACCAGTCTTCCAGTTATGATTAAAATATGCCAGTGGCTTCATGCAAACCGTGGACAGTCTACAACCTTGCAACACAAGGAAAGTGGACAGAAAACCCATTTCCTATAGCTCCAAACAGCAGCCATGGCAGCAATTTCTGGGAGCACTGGTCTGACTTTAAGTGGAATATTCTGTTATATTACTCACCCTTCACTTGACCTTCATAAATATCAAAACATTACCATCCTGCATCCTGCCATTTAATTCTTTTCTGTCATCTAATGAGGCCACATTTGGTTAGAAGGTCACTTGTCACTTCTAACATGGAGAGAGACATATCACTTTAATGAAGCTCCTAATTCAGAGCAAGTCATGAAATCGTGGACAAGATGACAACACGTGCTGGCCGGGAGACCCTGGAGGCCCTCAGACTTGGCCGGACCCTGATGGGATCACACTGAAGAATGAAAAACAACCAGGGAGGCTGGCACTCCTGCCTGCGTGAGCAGCAGAGTCTGGCCGATGTCCCTCTGAGTTCAAGTATCCAGAAGAAAGTGCGGATTCATGTTCAATATATTTTACAAGGTCCTATAATTTATCATCCTTCGTTTTTCTTTATGCATAACAGATTTTTCCTCAGTTAAAGAGCACATCGGGGCTTGGTTGGATGGGAGCAGGACCAAGAGCCACTTGTGTTTTCCTCCCTCCGTGGAATGGAAGGTCACATGGCTTCTTTTCCTTAAGACAGCTTGGCAAAGTTCCCACAGAGAGAAGTGCTAGGAAGAAGCACATGGCAGAGGCACGGATTACGGATATACCCATGCTTCACGGTGGGGGAAGGAAACCAGGCAAATGGAATCCTCTAGATAGCAATGATAGTTAGAGTGACTGCAAGTACAGCCTTTCTGAGCAGCAAAAGCAATTATCCAGACCCAGAACCCAGCTCAGGTGGACAGGAGCCTGCACCCAGTGGGGGTCAAATTTTTGAGGTCAAAGACATGGAGCTTGGACTTGGCCAGAGGAGGCCAAGCCCTTTCAGATGGCTCATTCAGCGATACCCCACTGTATCGCTGGCAGGGGCCAAAGTCTGCCCAAAGACCTCCAATAGTGATGCTTCCTGCCACGGCACAGTCCCTGCTGGACAACACACACCCAGGGGGTGAGATTTCACGCTGGTCACCTGCATGCTCCTGAGGTCAATAACATTCTCCAGTTTGGCCAATAAATGGAAAACCATATTGTAGTTGATGCAAATGCCTGTGGAGAGCTTTAGTGTGAGAGTATGAAGAAGAGCTGTCAGCTCTTTCCTCTGTTGAGAATGGAAGAGGAAGAACTCTGGAGAGGGGAGAGGTCTTCCCCATGCAACTGGTGGGCGCCTGCCTGGGAGGGAGAAAGGGCTTTAAAAAGAAGGGCAGGGGGCACCAGAAAGACTGAGAGTCAGCCTGGTGAGCTGTTCCTGCAGTGACCGGGACAGACTGTATTTTCCAAAGGTGAATGCAGCCTTCTCTCTCTCCTACCCACAAGCTTTGCTGCAAGTGGATCTAGGCACTCTACCTCCCTTGGATCCAGGAGGACCCTTGACAGTTTTGACATGTAGACGATGCTGGAGACAGCACTAGATCAGTTACCCTTCATGCCTCAGACACACTGGCTCTGGGAAATCAGCTACTGTGCTGTGAGAAGCCCAAGCCCCTTGGAGAGGCCAAATGCAGGTACTCCACTTGGGTGGCAGCCCCACGGAGATCCCACGGCTGGCCAGCATCCAGGGCCCACCACAGAGATGAGCTGTGTTAGAGGTCCAGCCCTTCTGAGCATTCAGATAATGTCAGCTTCAACCACCACCTGGCTGTAGTCACAGGAGAGTCCCCCAGGGGAACCATCCATCCAAGCCTGGCCAACCCACAGAACTTCTAGAGATCCTAAGACACTGTCGTTTTAAGCCACCAAGTTTCAGAATGCTTTGGTGCATATCATTAGATAACCAAAATACATGGTACAGAATGAGCAGACCAATCAGAACAGATGCCGCTGGTGGTAGTAGGGCTGGGGCAGGCCTCGGAGGCCTCCTGCTCTGCCAGACATCAGCCTTTAATGCCTGGGTTGGGGGGAGTCCAGAAATTACTGGGGGGCAGGGAGCCACAGTGGCAGAAGGACAGTCAGGGAGATTGGGACAGCAAGTGTTTCAATATTTTAACACCAGTTGGGATATACTCTGATCTCTAGCCGGGTGTCATCCCGGCCCCCTCACCCTGGAACTCAGACCTACGTCCCTGCTGGGCTCCATCAGATGTGGGAAGGCAAGTATACCCAGATTAGGAAGAGTCAGTAGGTGCCGCTCCTGGGAGTCAAGAGTTCCCCAAGGACACTCTCACCTTTTTAGAACCTTTTTCTATCTGTGATTGTATTTGGTCTCTTTACAGTGGCCCTGGGGTGGGGGGGCAGATGTCCCTGGCCCCCATTTGACAGATGAGAAAATCTGAGGTCCAGAGAAATTATAGAGGGACAGAGGCAATAATGGAAATTGTATTGGTCAGGACACTTTGTTGCTAGTTCTAGTTCTGACACTACCCCTGTCTGGGACCTTCAGCCACAGCTATGACTTCATAAAGCCTCCCCATCTCTGAAGTGAGAAAAGTAGAAAAATGAGCCCCAAGGGCATCTCTGGCATCAACCGGGAAGGAGATGGCATGGTTAGAACATGGTCTCAAGGCTCTGATTCCTTCTCTAGTGCTCACACGACCGTCCCTCACTGCCTTGCTAAGATGTTTCAGCATCATCGTGCAGCGGGGCAGCCAAACCCTCTCCCCAGCTCCTGGATGGGAGAATGTCTCCAGGTGCACCCCTACAGAGGAGTTTCTCTGTCTGTGTCTCTGTCCCCAGGCCTTCTGTCCTGACCCTCATGCTTTGTGGGGCAGTGTGTCTGGGGGTGAGGATGGGGAGAGTTGAGGAGGGGCTCACTCTGGACCTCAGCCAGAGCTGCCCAGGCTGGCTCTGAGTAAATCCTGCTGTCCCCACACGGGAAGCTGCTAATCCAGGCAGACCCTGTCTCATTCAGGGGTCCAGGGCCCCTGTCCTGACCTAGTCCTCAAGCAGCTTCAGGAGGTGATGAATCTCTCCTGAGATCGTGTGGTTTCCAGGAAAGCATTCCAGAATCCGAAACCGGCTTCAAAGGAATGCGTATCTGCTCACTCCCGCCCTGGCTGGGCACCAGCCCAGGGCGCCTTATTCTTATTAGGCTGGAGATGTCTTGGACACTAAGCTTGAAAAATGCACCGAGGATTTCAACACAGATGGGGAATGGTGTGAGTGTGCAGAAAGCCCCATTGTTGGCAGCACCAGATTTTCTCTGAAAGATGTTTTGGGGCAAGTAATTCAATTCCTCTCCATCTCACATTTTCCAACTTTGAAATGGAAATGGGATTTTTTTTTTTTTGGTCCCACAACCTTCCTATACCTGGGAGGCTGGATGGGGTGCGCTCCCACTGGAGCTGAAGCTTCCCTTACATGCTATTGGAAGGTGCAGTATATCAAACACCAGAGTCAAAAGTGGAGGAGACTCTGCAGGTAGAGAACAAAGGCAGGTGTCCAACCTGGGGTGTCAGAGGACAGGGGCCGTGCAGTGAAAAATGGGCTGAACAATCTGGATGGATCAGGTTGGAATGAGCAAGCGTGATTAGAGAGTGATCAACAGGGACAAATTCCCGACAAGGGCACCACCAGCCCCTTCCTCCACATGCGGACACATGTGCCTGGTGAACAAGGGTGAGAAGGAGGGGCCCCCGGGCCATTAAGCAACTTGGAAGGAACTAGTTATTCTTTATTTGTTATTTATTTAACCTCATCTGCACCTGGAGATGAGGCTCCCGTTGGGAGTCCCGCCTCATAATGACTAATTTTATGTATCAAATGCAACAAGCTACAGGACCCAGATATTCCACGAAACATTAGTCTGGATGTTGCTGTGAAAGCATTTTTTAGGTCATATTAACATTTGAATCAGTAGACTTTGAGTAACTCAGATTATCCTCCATAATGTGGGTGGGCCCCATTCAACAGTGGGTGGCCTTAAGAGAAAAAAGAGATTTTAACTCCCCCCAAGGAAGAAGGAATTCTGAGCAGACTACCTTCAGACTTCAGACTTTCCCGTTGATGCTTCCCCGGGTCTCTAGCCTGTTGGCCAACCCTGCAGATTTGGGGCTTGCCAACCTTCATAGTCACATGAGCCAATTTATTAAAATAAATCTACCTTGATATATCAAAGTCCGTACCTACGTAACATAGACCTACATATCTATAGATAATCATGCATCACTCATCAACAAGGATACACTCTGAGATACGCGTTTTTTCAACAATTTCAGCATGGTGTGCACATCACTGAGGGAACTTACACAAACCTAGATGGTTAAGCCTGCACACACCTGTGCTACATGGTGTATAAGCTACAAGCCTATACAGGATGTCACTATGCTGAATACTGTACGCAATTGTTACATGGTGGTAAGTATTTGTACATCTAACCTTGTCTAAACATAGAAAAGGCACAGTAAAAACATGATGTAAAGATTTTTTAAAATGGCTCACCCGGGTAGGGTGCTCACTGTGAATGGAGCCTGCAGGACTGGAAGATGCTCTGAGTTGGTGAGTCAGTGGCAGAGTGTGAAAGCCCAGGACACTGCTGCACACCACTGCAGACTTTGTGAACACCGTCCCACAAGCCCTCTTCGTTTTTGGTTCCACTGACTCCATCTGGCACAAAGGGCTTTCTCTCACGTTGAATTGAAGAAAGGAAGAAGAATTATCAATGCTTTGCCTCATTACAACCAGAAATATTTCCAACGTGCAAGGACAGGCTGGCTCCACACCACCTCAGAAACCGTTTATTAATTTACCCTAATATTTATCATGGTAGTTCCTGTGGACCTGCATCTTTGTACAAGGTCTTAGGCTCTCGACAAAGAACACACGGCAGTGTTCTCTGAAGACCACAGGCTAGATCTGGGAGGGCCGGAGCACCCTCGGCATGTGTAGCGTTGGGGGCCTCCATCTCCTCCTCTGTGCTGAGCCAGGTTGAGGCTGACTGATCGGGACGTAACCTGTGCACTCGACACTGAGGTGCTGGGAGTGAGGGGGACTCGAGGGCTCAGCCCTGCAGAGACTGCTCCCATCAGAGAAAAATGAACTCTTCCTGAACCAAAAATCCTTCCATTTCTTACAGGAAGTTTGGCTCCATTATAATTTTATGGGACTACTATTGCGCATGTGACCAAAACGTCATGATGTGGCACATGACTGTATATGCATCAGAGGAGAGAGGGAAGGAGGTGTAGGAATGATGTCCGGTTGGTGATGAAGTGGCCTGTAAGCAGATGATGAGAGTCCTGTGGCAGACTGATTTAGCAGCCCCTTTGCCTCAGTAAACCCAGAATACATAGATGTTCCACCAAGCTCCTGTTCTCATTCCTCTTCTCCTCTGACTCTACACATTGTTCCTGGTTGATTTAATCTTATCCCATCTCTTAAACCCTGTCGTCTTCTTGGATGATTCCCAATCTGTATCACTGGCCCTGACTTCTCTGCTGAGCTACAGAACAATGCACCCAACCCCTTCTGGAAATACCATTAGAACCTCACCCTCAACATGTATAAACCAAACTTACCATCCTCCCCCTCAAAAAACTCTGCTACTTCTCCTGGTGAATGGCATTACCAACTACTCAGTTTCCCAAGCCATTAATCTGAGAGTCAAGGATGATTTCTCTCCTCTCTCCTACTACCCCAGTAATCACCAAGTCCTGTTGATGCTGCTTCATGGGATTCTCCCAGTGATAAAGTGATTGCCCTGATTCAGAACTTGTCTCTGACCTAACTACTCAAATAGTCACACCCACAGTCAATCAAGAGAATGCCCCAATTTGGCCTACAATGTTAGACTCTTGCTAAAAGTAGCACTTTTCTACTCAGAGATTATAAGAGTTCACTGGTGTGGACAATTGTGGCTCAGGGGTAGCTAATTCCAAAGTATTTCCTGAGGCTCCTCTAAGTATCTTAGAGAAATATCACTGTTACATTCTCAGATCTGCTCCAAGCCATTGGCCAACCTTCCCACACCAATCAGAAGACCCTAAGCTCCATCTTCTCCCACTCAGGGGTATCAGGGAGTCCTCCTGGCCATACGAAGGGAGGCAAAGAAAGGCCCCACGGCTGACTTAGGTGGAAGCGCATCTGCAGTGTAATGTGCCCTCTGGGGGACTTGGCCTGGGACATCAGCACCTTGGAGAGCTCCAACTCTGACCTCTGTTGGGGAGCACACTGGACAAGAGTCCCGGATTCTCCTGAGGGTGGTGGCCAGGAGAGAAGGGGGTTGATGCTGACCACCTCCATTAGCCAGATACCCAGCTCAGCAATTTCAAGGATCTCAGAAATGCAAATGGCCCCGAAGTAGGCTCAGGCTGGGGCTTCAGGGGCTCCGCAGAGCCCCTGCTCAGGTGGTCCACAGAGGTTAGTGGTTATGATCCTGGGTCATGGCCAAGACAGCGGAACACTGAAGACTAGTGCTCAGACTGCACAGAATTCAGCAACTTTCATGATTTCCTTTCAGATTAATTATCCATGAAGAGACCAGCCACCTTCGAAAGTTGCCCCATTTTTCTGGACTACTGTCCTCTGTGCTTCGTCTGATGGAGCCCACCTAGCAGTTTTCACTGTGGGTGTTCCAGCATCTACTGCCCCAGGACCATAAAAGGAACCGAGCAGCAGGGACTTCAGAGGGGGAGGGCTCCTGCCAACCCTTGGTTCAACGGGCAGGGCCTACCTGTTTTGGGAAAGAGGTGTTGCCTTTGGGAGGAGGTGTTGCCTTTGATCACGTGCTCAGAGAACCCCGAGGAGATAAGTACACTGGCCTATTCCTGTAGCATCTCTTTGTTCCTATTGGACCAGAAGACCTCTAAGTGTGGAAAACTAAAAAGGAGTGGGCCTCCCCATGAACAGCACATGTCTGCAGTCACAGAGGACGCCTTTGCTCTCCAGAGTCAACACGAAGCCTCTTCTGCTCACCCTCACTCCCTGAGATGAAGCCCATGTTACCACCACCCTCTCCAGCCTGCTGCTCGGCTATGGCCGCACTGAGGCCCTGCAGCTAAGCCACCCTAGCCCCTGACTCACCTACACAGTGTTCCACACCTCCGGTGTCCCATTCAGTTTCCCCAACAGCTTGGAGAGGTAGACAGTGTTTTTGGGTTGCCCCATGTACAAAGGAGAAAACCACAGGTAAAAGGTTGTGTGAGGCCTAAACACACAGGGCCCCTGACTGCCATCGGCTTTATAATTTCTTTAAAATGGTCCTCGCACCCCACCGGGGGGTTCAGAAACACTGCAGCATGCTTGTAATTCCACCAGTGAAACAAAGAAAATGTAAGAAACCTACCTTTTGAGGACCGCACTCGTCTGCCTGAAGTTTGTCGAAGCCCATCTGTTACTCTCTGCCTGCAGAACATAAACAAAAGCCCTGTTCGCTGGAAGCTTGTCAACAGCTTCCTCTGAGGTTTGTGAGAGTCCTGGGGACATTTCCACCCCCTCACACATAAAGGTCAACCGAGGCTCTAAGAGGAAGAGCAATTCTTTTTTTTTTAAAGGCTCACTGGCAAACATTTTGATCCTTGTTTATTTTGTCAGGCTTGCCTTTAACTCTTCATGTACAACTTCCTAAGAAAGAAGATTTGAATCCAATAAAGGACAAGGCATTTGCTTTTCTCTCATCTCCAAATACCTGAGACTTGGCCACACTGAGGCCAAGAATTAACCAAGAATACTAGTTGGGGGGCACTGATCACCCACGGATGGGATCAGCAGCCATAATGATGCATATCATCGCAAAGGAAGACACTTTCCTTTGAGTTTGGCTGGAACACATCACCCCAAATTGTATCTTTAGCCACACCGGACCCGCTGAAACTCAAGGTCACATGGAGAACCCATGTTGACACTCCCCTCCCCCTCTCCCTCCTCAGGTCCCTGCATCTATTACACAAATGTAACGTCATTCAGATTAGTAAAGATTACTTATGTGGAAGACAGGCCTCATTCTCTAACAAGGAAAAAAAGTTTCTGCTCTTCGTTTACTCTCGAGGCCCAATTAGAATTTCTCTTTGCACAGCAGATGTGTCCTCAGACGTGTGAGGGTAAGACACGTTCTGTGCCTGTGACTCGAATCCTGTCTGAAACTTGCTAAGAAAGCCCAGCTTAAAACCCTTTTACGTGAGAGGCTATCTGCAGAAAGTGGAAGAATTAACATTACCCAGATTAGTCAAGGATGGTCTGACCGAGGGCCATCCTTGTCCCCAGGGGCGGAAAACAGCTTCAGCTCACAGTGCCCCCACAGCTCTGGGCTTTTTCTCTGCCTGCTTCTTCTTGGGGCAAAATAGGTCAGGAGACCAAGTTCATCTGGGGACCTCAAACTCCCCTGCTACTTCCTCTCCTCTTGTCTCAGGGATCCTGTCCTACAATTCTGTCCCCTCGGGACCCTCGTGCTTCATATGCTCCATAGAAATGTCTGCTCTCGAGGAAGAGACGATGCCAGATACTTACCCCATCATGACAATTGACACTTAGCTCCATCCTCTGGGACATCAGCATCCCCCACCTCAGCTCCAGTGAGGGTCCTATCTCCTGGGAGGGGTTTCAAGCCTTCCTGGGTGAGCAGGAGGAAACAGCGTGCCTGGTGATGGAGGAGTCTGATGGCAGCTGTCAGCTCGTCCTTCCCCCGACAGACCCAGAAAGTGTTACCTTAAGACAAGAGGGGCCACCCTACAATGTGCCTGAGGGGGTGCTGAGCAGCTGCCACGCAGAACCCGAGGTCAGGAGTGAGAAGCTGCAGAACCAATGGGAGCAGCTGTGGGTGCACATCCAACTCATTCCAGAGCAAGGCTTTCTCTTGCTTTTCCTGGGAGAAGAGTGGGAAGTTTGGGGTCCCTCCAAGACCCTCTTCCCCTCACTGTGGCTCACTGGAGAGGTGCCATCAGTGAGCTGGGACTCCACAGAGGCCGCAACGGCACGCAGAGGCACAGTGGGAAATGAACCCAGCTGGGAAAGGCCAGGGTTGGGAAAAGAAGCTGCACAGCTCTCGGTATCCAACCTGAACACTTGGGAAATGACCCATCATCTTGGCCTTAAACTTTTCCATACGCTCCACATTATTAGAATTTCTCCTTAACTACACCAATCATCCTCAGGATCCGGGACAGCTGTACGGAAAAAATGCGGTGCTCCCCACCCTTTCCCTTGAGTTCTTATAATGAAAGAGCTTAGTTAACACAAATTACCGGCTTTGCTTTCTCCTTTTCTGACAGATGAACAAACATCAAATCATCATCACGATGGAGGCCCGGCTGGCCAAATCCACCCCAGTGGTCTATCACCGGGGCAGAAGCCTCTTGGTGGGATGAGAGGGCCGGGGGCTGATTTCCGGTTTGGACCAGTAGTTCCAAGAAGCACCATTCCGTGCTCACCGCTGGGATCTGAGAAGGCCTCGAATATAAACCAAACTCTAACGTTGGGGTATCTAACTTATTAAAAAACAAATAACAACATAAACACTTTTTTAGCAACACAGATAAGGAAAGAGAGAGAATATCTTGAAAGCGCCCTGGGGTGAGGTACAGGAGTGACAAGTGACCAGACCACTGTGGGCTGGTCACTTGTCACTTTCAGGGTTTCGGCTGACTCATCTGTGGTATAGGGGGGTGATCTCAGTCAATGATTTCACATTGCACGTTCTGGGCCCTCGAGACCTGAGAAGTTACTTTATGGGTCTCAGAAATGTTTTATGTTAAAATTTTATATTTAAAAAAATATTTTTAGCCCTGGCTGGTAGAGCTCAGTGGATTGAGCGCAGGCCTCAGAACCAAACAGCTGCAGTTTGATTCCCAGTCAGGGTACATGCCTGGGTTGCAGGCCAGTTCCTAGCAGGGGACACATGAGAAGCAAACACGCACTGATATTTC